GACAACGAGTGTTCCAAAGCGATAGTAATAATGATGTATTACTTTTAACTCTGGGCTGTTGGAATTTGATGGGCAAGACTAATGTCCACCAATGAGGATGACAGTGATGAAGAAGGCGCTGGATGCAGGCTCATAAAAATGACTGATGAGCCGGCCGCGCTCAAACTTGGAGGGCTTTGTGAAAGTGCAGATTGGTGCCTTTGCCGCAATTTGTCGCGAGCAGCGGCTGATAGCCGCCTATAGCTTTTGTGAGACAGCCGAGCGAGCGCCGCGAGATGGTATCAGCGCCAACAAAGACGACACTTGTTTTGTCAGTTCACTCGGCTGGAATTTTACTGAGAAGCTAAAATGGATTCTGCTTTGTTGTTGTCATTGTAGTCTCGCATGAATTGCGTCGCAAATTCGAAAGAAAATGAAGAAATCTGAATTGAAAACCACTTACCGCCATTTTTATATTTTGGGGGAGATAAGACACTCTAGATTGTTTTTCATTGTGCAGCAAACATGCTACTTTGCATTTTAGTGAAAAATTGTAGTTGGAATTTGCTTTTTGTAGGACAGCTACAATGTGGGAGTAAAAAGTCAAATACTAAAAACTACATCTTTTGAAATGATTTTTGTCAACCTCATACCTTTCTCTGGTAGAGCTCCTCGGGCGTGGTGGACCTGAGACTAACCAGCCGGTAGTTCTTAACAATGGTGCGGGGGCGCTTGCGAGGCGGCGCGAAGCGTTCCATCTCCGTCACGTAGTAGAGGCCCTGCTTGATGTAGCCAAAATAGCGAGCCTTGGCGGAGGATTCGTCGTCCGAGTCCGAGTCCCCGCCGTCGTCGCCCTCCTCGTCGTCGCCGGTCGCGCCGCCCACGTTGCTCTCAAGGCGGACACGCTTCTGGGCGAGCTTCACCTCGCACTGGGGAGCACACAGAATACAAACGTGTCAACTATAACCCAGAGATAGGACGTAACCAAGTAGAAATGCTTGTTACTGTATTTAATCAACATGCAGCATGTCGGGTTTTTTTTTTTTTTTTATTAAGGTGCTTCTCAGTACACGCACTGTAAGTTTCTAAAAAAATAAAAATAAAAAATAAAAAATAAAGGGTGGGGGCTCCCCATTGTGCCACATGATAAAAATGGGCATTGTATAAAATTGACAGTAAAAATTCAATTTTACTTTAATACTTAACTCATTCACTCCCAAAGACGTTTTTAAACGTCTTTTCAGACTTGGTCTAGAATTGGCTGGTACTGAATGAGTTTTAAGTAGATTTCAGTTTTTACATTTAGATTTTTAGTTCAAGACCAAAAATTGAATAAGTACTTTTTTTGTTTGTTTGTTTTTAATCCAAACAGCTGAACCTTTAGTACAGAGTATACATAAGTCCTTTTGCCAGCATTGAAGATAAGCAATATGGTGCATTTTCACACGAGAATGACAAAACGGAGCATGCTGTGCTTGTACTGGGACAAAATACGCCTCTCCACAAATGTAATCTTGCTCCTTCAGACTGCATTTGCATGCACAAGTACTACATCACCGCTTACCTCCTGCCCCCCCCCCCCACACACACACACACACACACACACACACAGGCTGGGGCCACCACCTTCCTCTAAAGTTGGCAGGTTAAGAAATCTCTCGCTATCTATGTGAGAAGTTGATATGTAACACGCCAAAAAAAAAAAAAAAAGTGGAATAACACCAGAAGGTGTTTTGATAACAAGGTCCTTCTTGGATTCCAAAATGCAAAAAAAAAAAAAAAAAAAGGAAAAGAAAGAAAAGAATAAGCAGGGAGGTACAGTGTATTCATCATCACACAATAAGTATTTCCACACAAAATCACATTTTGGACTGGCTCTTTGGTCCATAACAGTTGTGTGTTGAACGTTGTGTGTTGCAATATGGACTAAGTGTTAAATCCCAATAACGCTCTATTTTCCAAGATGCTATTATTCCTTCAAATGACATGAATGAATAGTTTTCTCTTACATTTTCTCAATTTATTCACAAAACGCTAATCTAAAGGTGGTGGTCGTGGTAGTGGTGGAGTTATGGTGCTGGTGCTATAAGTCCGCTGCGAAGACAGCAAAGCAACACGACGACGTACCTCCAGGCTCAGGAATCCGCCGTGGCGTGCGGCCGTGACTCTGGGCGAGGGTTCGAACCACTCGCAGGACTTGCCCAGAAGGTTGCGGAGGCTCCTGATGGACGACACGGTGACGGCGCCCGAGCAGCGGGCCAGGATCAGCACGCTGTCGCTCCACCAGTTGACATCCACCAGCGGCTGGTACTGCTCCTTGTCTGAACACACACCACAAAGTGAAGACTTCATAATGGACTAATACTACAACGCAAGTTTATTTTCTTTTCCGTTTTTATTCATGATTTGTGTGAACGAACGATCTTATCTTAATGTAGCAGTGGAATGGAGGGACCATAACTGGACAACGATCCACTTTCGAGTTACTTATCCAACTACTTTGACATGCAAATTGGGGTCCTCCGGCATAAAATGGCTGCCATTCCAAAAGGTAAAAGGCACATTTTTGTAAAAGCCTCCTGAATGAAACCTGAAAGGCAAAACTTTGATTTGAGATCCATTGTGGTGGTGGAAAAGGGCAACATTTCATGACCGCCATTTCATCGTCCAATTTTCCTTGTTATTAGGGTTTAATTGCATATTTTATTGTTCAACTAACAATCTGGAGGACAAGCTGGCAAAGATTTGTCGAGCATTTTATTCGTGACTACAAGATCGGCTTTCCACTTTTTCTCTTGAAGCTTTTTGTACCTATTTGCATTATTGCCATCGTAAAGTTCTTTCACATTGGTTGACTTTGGGAAAACACCCACCGGACACTTTATTAGCGACACTTGCACAATCCAGTGAGATCTAACAGGAGGTGGTAGTGCAGTTTAATTACCCCAAAAATTGCATCTAGTCGTTTTGTTAAGGGGGAGTGTTGACGTGACTTTTATTTTATTGTTGTTGTTGTTGTTGTAGTTGTTCCACTGGAACTTATGACCCTCCTGTTCTGTTGTGGGTCAAACTGACAATCTTTAAAAAAAAAAAAATTGGGGTGCTAAATATAGTAAGATTTTATTTTTTCAATGTTTTTTTTTTTTTTTAACCCTCCTTTTTGCCCTTTTAGTGTTTAAAGCTCAAAGAAAATTATGCTCTTAAAACTCATTCAGTATCAGCCAATTCTGGACCAAGTGTGAAAAGACGCTTAAAAACGTCTTTGGGAGTGAATTAGTTAAATTAATTATGTTTGAAAGTGGGATAGATTATTACATTTTCCAACATTCACTTCAAATTTGTTTTCCTTGTTAAACATGCAGTGCCACATTACTCCATGACCAAAAATTAAGATAAACAAGCCGACATTTTTACATAAAACCCGAAATAAAAAAATAAGTGGTCACAGTGTATTTGGGGGTGACACCAAGCTGTCATGTGCAGCGTAAGATGTATTTAAACGTGGGTGTGTCCACGTTTAAATACATCTTACGCTGTGTCACGTCTTTTGAATGTTTTTTTTTATTTTTTTTAAACGCGAACTGTCACACAGCCTTCAGTTGCGATGGCCCCGAACTGTCAAAGGGCAGCATGGTGGGATGAAATAAAGTCGAGAGGTCTAAATAAGTGTATAATTCCGTGAATAAGACGCGTCAAAGATCATTAAATCGTATTCGGCACGCCGTGCTGTGTCAGCGTTAAAAATAAGAAAAAAAAAATGCTGTGTTGTGCTGAGAGTCCCATGGGCCACGTTACCTTTTATTTTCTTCCTCCTCTCCAGTGATGTCTTCCACTCCGGATTGATCTCCTCAAATCCTGGCTGCCGGCGAGGGAGGGAAGAGGAAACGATGAAGATTAATCTCTTCACCCTCTTTACACTTACAGGAGGCGGAAATACACACACAAATGCGGCACACATTTGCAAAAACAGATCGCTTCTCCCAGACACTAAACACAAGCGGAACGAACGCCAGCTCACTCTGTGCAAAAGTACGCAAATCAAACCTCACACCTTAAAATGAAAATATCTCCAAAACCTGATGCGGTTGAAAAAAAAAAAAAAAGTGAAGACATTCTTAAAATCAAAAGCACATCCATCCATATTCTAATCCGCTTATCCTCAAGGGTCACGGGCGTGCTGGAGCCTATCCCAGCTGTCTTCTAGACGAACACAACCATCCGTGCTCACACTCACCTAGAGACAATTTAGAGTGTTCCATTAGCCCGCCATGGATGTTTTGGGAATGTGGGAGGAAACCAGAATACCCGGAGAAAACCCACGCAGGCACGGGGAGAACATGCAAACTCCACACAGGAAGGCCGGAGCCGGGATCGAACCCGGCATCTCTGCACCGTGAGGCCGACGCGCTAACCAGTCACCGCGCCGCCCTCAAAAACACACTTCTGATGAAAATGTGCTGTTGGCCAGTGTAATAAGGGAATGACATGCCAAGACCTTGAATGATGGACAAACCTGACAAACATAGTGTATAAAAGCCACTCCAAGTTCAACTTGAGCCATGAGGTGAGTCAGAGTCGCTCGCCTCGCGTTATAATAGCCATGTGACATCTTGTCTGAGGCACAAAAGTTATTCTACTGCCCAGGGAAGTTTGGGGGCAAATGACAGTGTGAAATGTCAGGGTAATTTTGACATGTAGAATTGAAGGGTAATTTTGACATGTAGAATTGAAGAACAGCTTCGGAAATTTGTCACATACAAGTTGATTGGTAGACATTTTGAAGTGAATCTTCCTAAGAAGAAACAATCTGGTTTTAGTGTTTTTTTACACTAATTTTAAGGCATCTTTGGACCAGATTTTCTGTCAGAAGAATCACATTTGTCAAAAAAGGGCCTTTTGTCCGAGACCAAAAAACAACAACAAAAAAACCCCCAAAAAACGAATTTTCTCTGGAAGCAATCACCCAATCAAAATTGCTCCTGCGTTTTACTCACGTTAAAAGCGGCCATTCCAATCCGACATTTTGAGAATATCATTTTTCAGAAATTTCTCATGTTGCTACTCTAAATTGCCCATCGGTGTGAACGTGAGTGAGACGAATCATTTGTCTGTATGTGGCCTGTGATTGGTTGCCGACCAGTCCAGAGTGAGCTGCGATGGTTTCTGACTCAGCGGAAGCCTCATGGATGATTTGGAACCATAAGCTACCTGTTGGTCCTGCTCCCACACCGCTCTCTGCTTAAGCGAGGGGACATCCCAGAGGGACAGGCGACCCGAGAAATGAATGACAGCCAGCAGCGTCCCGTCGGGGCTCAGACTCATACGGAACACGCCGTCCTGGAAAACACACACACACACACACACACACACACACACACACACAGGTCAGGATAAAGTGCTCACAAATGTCCCCGGGCGCAAAGAACGAGAAATGAGTTTGGCTACCTTTTCATCTCCTTGTCTGCTGAACAGCCTCAAGTTGGGCATTCGCAAGAAACCTCGCTTGTGGCTCTGAGAAAAGAAACACACACACACACACACACACACACACACACACACACACACACACACACACACACACAGGAGACACGTTCACACTTTGCAAGGTCAACATTTTTTATTAGCTACTACTGAAGTGGTGTCCCCAGGTGCCAGGGCCTTGACTTACTTTCTATTGTGTTGTGTAGCATAGGGCTGCACAATCTATCGAAAAATAATGTCCTCGGGATAATGGCACATACAATATGCGTATTGCAAAGACGTGCGATAAATTCATCTGGAATTTTATGTTTTGAATCTGACTATGATTAAACAGAGGCAACCTTAAATGCGCATCGTCATCCGATGGGAGAACAGCATCTCGGGACATTGTTAACACTGCGAGGCTAAATAAGAATATGTTGAGCATGTTTACGTATCTGCATGAAAAAAAATGGATTTCTTTCATGACATAATAAGATGTCTTTTTTTTTTTTTAATGTCCTTGACGTGCTCTCCTCACCGTGTTGACATCGTCCTCGAAGCTGGTGACCTGCTTGTAGTGAGGCGAGCCGGACAGCGCCCTCCACGCCGTCAGACCGCAAGAGGAGGCCTTGGATGAGCCGTCGGACCCCGAATCACAGCCAGCCACCAGCAGTAGCCTGTAACGTACGAAAAGATGAACGGACACTGTAACACGGCGTCCTTGTGAATAGTAGCGTTTGGTTCTATTCATCCATCCATCCATTTTCTCAACTGCTTTATCCTCACAAGGGTCGTGGGGCGTGCTGGAGCCTATCACAGTTGTCTTCGGGCAGTAGGCGGGGGACACCCTGAACCGGTTGCCAGCCAATCGCAGGGCACACATAGCTCACAGTCACACCTCAGGACAACTTAAGAGTGTTCCATGAACCTGTCATGCATGTTTTTTGCAATGTGGGAGGAAACCGGAGTACCCGGAGAAAACCCACGCAGGCAGGGGAGATCATGCAAACTCCACATAGGAAGGACGGAGCTGAAATCGAACCCGGTACCTCTGCACTGTGATGTTGACGTGCTAACCACTGGGACACCGCACGCCCTATTCACCCCTCCATTTTTTTTAATTGCATTTGTCAAATAAAAAGTGGCAACATTAGAACCTAGGCGATCAGGTCTGCTAACCACTTGACCGCCGTGCTGCCCGAGTCGGTTCGTTGAAGAGTCCAAGTTGACCATAGTTGGAAATGTGTGAGGGGGCATTTGGAGCAGTACTACTTAGCTCAACACTGCACCCTGGTGCGCACAAGATCAACAGCGGGCAGCGCTTCTAACCCAAATGGATGTTCTAAACCACACGCTGCAGACGCCAGACAACCTCAAGTGGCCCAAGATCTGCGGGTGTATTAAGCGCACGTGTGGATTTCGAGGGGGACTACACGCGATGTCCGCGCATCGGAAATCGACTCCAGTAGTCTAGCCATGATCGACATACCCAATTTCAGGTTGTTAACTAAAAAAAACGTTTCAGGCGTTGAGTTTGAAGGACCCTCTGAATTGTCCAAAATGAGCCTAAAATGGCTGTTTCAACCTATGTGACTGTTTTTTTTTTTTTTTTAGCGCACGTGTGGATTTCGAGGGGGACTACACGCGATGTCCGCGCATCGGAAATCGACTCCAGTAGTCTAGCCATGATCGACATACCCAATTTCAGGTTGTTAACTAAAAAAAACGCTTCAGGGGTTGAGTTTGAAGGACCCTCTGAATTGTCCAAAATGAGCCTAAAATGGCTGTTTCAACCTATGTGACTGTTTTTTTTTTTTTTTGGTAGGTCTACTTTACTCATGATAGCGAGGTCTGGAACTCTTTCCCCGCTCCAAACGCAGGTTCACTGTACATTCTCTGTCCTCTTTTCCTCTCGCTCTTATCTATATGCAACTGCTTGCGCTAACCCACTTTTCACACCGCAGATCATTAAAGTTTCATCCGGTCTGTCGGCTGGCAAACACTTGACAGTGGCTGTCAGGAGCCCTTAAGACGCCCACGGCAAGA